GGTGACACTTTCTCACCCTTACTGAGAATGACTTTTTTTTTGGATTTCCGAATGTATTTACCAATGTTTTAATCGCTGTGGGGGATAATGCTCTTAAATGTAGCGTCCTTGACTTATTGAAATAAATTTTTGACTTTAACTAGTCTCAGAACGAAAAATCTCTGCAAACTAGCGGAAGCTATTAAAAATCATCATTTTTTAATATCAAGTGACCTGAGAACAATGGCTCTAAAAAATCGAATGCAGCACGACCTGTATGAGGTGGTGCAGTATTTTGTTGCCAGCTGGGTTCACCAAATATGGCTAATCCACTTAATCTAGGGCCAAATGAGAAGGAATACTTTATTTACTTATTGTCAAAATTTGATCAAATTCGCCTCGTATTTCGTTATAAAATGACATTTCATATTTTATTGTCAAATTTTATTGTCAAATTGTTTATGCGTTGCACAAAAGTCTTCTGGTAATTAGTTCGATACCGGTGTTAAAACCTTGAATACAATGACTGAGCACCACAGCTTAAAAACACACACAGTGAACAAAAAATCTAGATTGAATACCGAAAAGCAGAGTCCATTAAATTTTGATCTATGATTTGGGTAAATACACGATCTACCTATGTGCGTTTTGTACCTCACATTCTGATGAACGACGAAAAAGACAGGAGAATTTAGTATTGCTATGATATGTTGAGGAATTCCCTCAACATATAATCTATAAAGAAAGTCATTGTGTCCAGAGCTCGTCGTGGTAGTCACTGAAGACTCAAATTAAAGAAAAGTATATATTTCAAGCAGTTAGTGTTTACTGTACAATAATGAACTCTTGATAAAAAATTTACTTTATTTGGCTCTGCACAGTTTCTATCTTTACACAAATTTAGATATAGATAAAACGAAATTACTTTTGTTTCGATACCATCCTGGATATCCAAAAGATTTCGACCGAAAAACAAAGCAACTCGGAAGGATGTATGTAATAAATATTTCTAAAATTCGTTGATCGTTTTAAGCGCTATGTTGAATCAAAAGGAGATTATTATGAAAAAATAACACTAGTCTTATTGGACCTAGGTCTGGAACTGAAAATGTATAAACACTGCTTAGAGATAATTATTTGCATAGTGATATTTTAACATGTATTAACAGATTAGGTATAAAAGAGGTATGTTCACCTATTTGGATGCTGTTATTTAAAAAAAAAAATGCATTGTATAAAAAGGGTCTTGTAGTTTATATAAATATTTCTTATCCATAATTTTTTTAAGTATATTCAGTATACTTATATATGAAGTATATTCAGTATATATATATTATTATACATTAATAATTTTAATAATATTTAATTATAAATAATATTATTATTAAATAATAATTAATAATATATTTAATTCAATTAATATAAATAATAAATATATATTTTACATATAATGTCTATATTTATCAACTAAATAGTTTTTAGTGTAAGTCTATATATTAATATTAGATTACTTTTTTTGAAGTATTTATAAGTTCTTCATTACCGATTTATGTTATTAGCTGCTTTTTAGCTTGCAAAATGCTATTATTTTAGTTGTGTTATGTTGTCATATTTTTTGGTTTAATATATAATTTTTTATTTTATAATTTATTTTTATTATTATTATTATTGTTTTAAAAATTGAATATAGATAGATGTGTATGTTGTGCCAATACATCCCACTCGTCATTAAGTAACAAACTGTCGCGATCATTACAATTTTGTGCATGTTTATGCGTTTCTTCACAGATTTCGCCTATATCATCATTAAATCGATATATATTTACCTGTGTTACGATCATAATAGGAATAATTAATTCAGCTTACTTATTGCGTTTAATCATTCGTCTGACATACAGCTCATTTGTTACGTTCAAATAGCTTATAACAGTTCATTTAAATTATTGTATTTTGTAATAATTAGAAATAATTAATTCTATTTGTTTTATAAACTATTAGGTGGCACGCATGTGCAGCATAGCTATCCAACGTTAGCATCTCGTCGTTCTGGAGTGGGTCGACGTCTACCACCGACACCAAGTAAACCATCGACACTGCAGCTAAAGCCAACTAATATTAATTTCCCTAAACTAAACGCTAGTCCAACGCATGTAAGTATTTTAAAAGTATTATTTAATTTTATAATTAATATATGTATATCGCATCAAAGATATAGATATAAATAAACAATAGATTCAGCAAACGTTTTTGGGTAAATAAATATGTAACGCAGTAAATAGATTTTTGAAATTAATTTTTTTAGATATATAGACAGGATTTATTTACTAGCATTACCGGTTCAAAAATCATACACTGACAAACCAGTAAATAGTTCCCGACACCACTTATGGTGGATATTTGGGTATCCACAATAGCTGTTTGGTCAACCTAAGAATTAATTAAATAATTCTTGAATATTATCATTTTTTTATTTGTGGATAAGATTTAACTCATAAAACATACAATTTTTAATTATAAGAGTATTTGGCGGATGATACAAACTCATCAAATTTTTTTATCTTTATGTTTGTATTTTCGCGAGATATTTTGATCGACTTCATTTCAACTAGATTTATTGCGATCGAAATTTATTTGATTTGGATTAATAAGGGTATCATTCATTCCAATAATAATATGTTCGCAAGCAGAGTCTTATAACCTTTTATCCTGTCAATTGTTTCAGCAAATAACAACATAAATGCACATGAACGAAAAGGCCACACTAGCTAGATTTTATTTACATCCAGCCAGCTCTACTAGTGGTTTGCTATTGTCAGTTGCTAGTATCGAGGGCCCCTAAATCGTTAGACACCTAATCCTTCCACCAAAGCTGCGGACCGCCTTTTCCACTTGCGGGTACCGAATCAAATTTCTTTCTAACCGAAGTGCTTTCTTCCATTAATGCGCTTAAATATGTCAATGTCGAGGTATAGCGCATACTTATCATTCCATCTAATTCGATACTCGTTGCCAATGTGTAAAGGACTATAGTTCTTCCGAACAATTTTTCTCTCGAAAAATGCCTTCTCACCACTGTTGATATCCAAGCTTCTGCACCTTACAGCAGAACAGGCAAGATGAGGGACTTATAGAATGTGATTTTTGTTTGTCGAGAAAGGGCTTTGTTTCTCAACTGCCTGAGAATTGAGAAATGCCAGCATCTGCTGGCAAGTGTAATTCCTCGTTGAATCTCTTGGCTGACCACCAAAAACAAACAAAAAAATAAACGAATATGTGCTGTTTAAGATAGTTAGAAATGGATCCAACTAATTTTTCTTAGTCTGTTTATATACTCGTATTAGATAAAAATAATTGGTTTTTTCATACAGCATTTAGTTTTTTCTTCCTGAATATTTCATCGATGAAATTACAATAACTATTGTAATTACACTATAGTTTTTAGGTTACATTTTTTTTCAATATATCTTATGCTTTTATATTATACACATTAAGGATACATTTAAGGATTGCACCTTTGTCTTAATTCGGCCTTCAAATGACATATTATAATATGTAGTTATATTCAATTTGCATTAATAATCTATTTCTTTTTTACTATAGCAGACACATCACTCGACACCTCATAGTGTTCACTCGCTGCCACACCACCGTGATCTATTGCGGGATCCTAGGGATATGTATTATAGTAGCAGAGAACGTGACCGTGATAGGGAACGGTATAGAGACCGAATGCGTGATTATGATCTACGATACGAATATCGAGATCGTGAGCGTGAGATGTATGAAAGAGAACGTGATCGTGAAAGAGAGTTAGAAAGAGAAAGGTATGAGTTATCTATTAACATAGTCATTAAAATAAAAATTTTACAATTGTCTAATTATACAAATTTAATATAGACTGGAATATATAGCACCATTGTCCTTTGAACAAGCGCTTGCAATGGGCAGAACGGGGCGTGTACTGCCTTCACCCGTTCTAAATGGCTATAAGCCAAAAGGTGGATTACACGCACGCCACTCCGATTCAGATGAGGAAGATTGGTGCTAGCAAAGGCTTTGATTGCGATCGCGTGATCGAAGGGAACAGATCTGGGTATAGCATCAGGCCATTTTTTCATCACGATCCGCACCAGACTTAGATCACAATTTTGATACAATACCACTGCAACAACTAACAGCAACATCCGATACCGAATTGCAAAGATACATAAAAGCATATCCGTTAAAATCAACAAACATAGATAACATTGCCGAAACTACTACAACTACAACTATAGCAACTACAAAAATTTATTCCGATCATGAGATAAACTATAGAGATTTTACAAATTTACAACCAACCGAACAAATTCAACTACCAGAACCATTAGATATGGCACAACCAACTGATACATTGGTATCACCAAAGGAACAACATCTTTATCATACACTTTAAATACTAGACTTACATACATATATATATATAATAAGAATATCGTATATAGGACTATTAACTGTTGAAAAGAATGAAATTTAATACTTGTTAATGTAAAGAGAAATGTGTTCAAAAATTTTAGAAATGACGGTAAATCAAATAATGCATAAACCAATGAGGAATTGAAGAACTGAAATATTGAAATGAACGACAAAAATAACTATTTCACACAATTTCATGTTAATTAATATTTTTTGTTTTGTAATAATTTAAACTAAATGTAAATTTCGTTATTTAATATTTTGTATAAAAATATTTCTTTTGACGTACTTAAAATTTTTCGTATCATAACATTAACGCCTTCAGCCGCGTGTAGTATTCACTAGGAAGACGACTAATAGTAGCATATATTCCAATCTAACATTACTTGTGTATGTAGCTATTAGCTTACGAGAAGCCCTAGAAATTGTGTATTACTGATTACTGATTATCGTTACCTTTCAAAGATATCATTTGTGTTTCGTAGTGTTAACTAGTTACTCTTTGAGAATTTAATCATCATTTTCTTGACTGTAGTTCTTTGGTTTTATATTGAATACAGCAACTTTAGAAGTTAAAAATACAAAGAAAAAAAAAAAAACAAATAATACTGCCGTCATAAAGTTATAAACTAATATTCATAAATACTGATTTCAGTTAGGAAATCATAAATATTCACACAATCTATGCAAATTTGCTAATTTTGCTAATTTTGTAACAGTGCCACAGTCAAGACCAACAGTCAGATTATGACAGCGAATACAGTAATTAAAACAAATTATTAGTAATAAAATAAAAGACAAGTATATAGTGGAACCTTTTAAACGCTTACTAAATTAATCGAAATTAACTGATTAAAAAAACATTAACATTAATTAAAATAAATTAAATACAAATTTACTAAAGGAAACTAGTCAGCAACAGTTTGAAATTTATACAACATACATAAATTAAATAACCATGATATATGAGATATGGAGGTACAGGAGGCATTTTAAAAATGTTAGAAGTGCTAGAAAAATGTTATTTTTATTATAGCAAAATTTTATAACGATCGCAAAATACGTAAACTTAATGGGACATATTTTATATATAAAACTATACTACAGATTTTAGGCATAAAAAGCATAAGAAGCATATAAGACATACCAGCAAATATACATACATTAATATAGTTATATATGAACATTAGCTCATAGATACACATAATACCTACATAAATACAAGACATGCCACCAGTGCATATAAGAAAAACTTTTAACTACAACTTACAAGCATTTTATCACTCAAATATTAATAGTCATACTACACCTTTCTCTTATGTCCCCTCTCTAAACTATTAACCGTTGTAATGAATTTATTTGATAGAATTACAAGCTCGGCAGTTAAAAATTGTTCAATAAAAAAAAATTAATTTTATAAATGCAAAATGCAAAATGCAAAATGCAAAAATACTTGTAAATAAAATAAACAATTAAAGAATTAATTAAATAGAATTAAAAATTATAATAGAAATTGTAAATAGCATAAAAAGCATTAAAATGACATAAGTGAGAAGATAGTAATCACTTCAACGCACAAATATTTTACGAAAATCCCGTACTTATAACGTAAGTTAAAATATATATGTAAAATATACAATGTTCATGTATACATAAACATAATATTAACATACACATATATTAGTGTATATGTAATGCCCAGTAACTGTTAACGTAACCTCAACATAACATAACGTAACGTAACGTAACGAACCGTTACGTGACGTAACTCGAAATTGTATAACAGAGAGTACAGCTAAGCGCAAAATTTACTCCAACGATTGTGTTCGTACTGAATTTTTATCTATTAGCAGTGCTTGAATTGGCCTATGATAAGAAGTTAAAAGCAATAAATAATTGTTAGGATATTGTTTAAAACCGCAATTCAATATAGTTCAATATAGACTTCCCACATTATTTATTTATTTAAATTATCACAAATTGTTAATAGCATAGGTTATAGCATAGCATTTTATTGAAAGATATATAATTTTGGGTTCTGTTGCATCATCTTTAATTAAACTCACCTAATGTAACACATATATAAATCAGTTTTAATACAATATATTAGGAACTTACTGGAGTGTTATATGTTAGTGCCGAATTTATATGTATATTTAGCGTCGCAAATTGTCGCTTAAGTAAAGCAAAATTCTAAATCTTCATATGATTAAAAAAAATCTATTAATCTAATAAGAATTCAAGCGTGAAAACTTATATATAAATATGTGGTGGCTTCGGGCTAAAGTTACCAAGCCCCAAATGGTAACATTAGCTCACACAAATACATATACAATATACAAGCAGTTTAAGATTAAATAAATTTTTGGCAAAAATCTGAAAAATACCTAAATTTAGTAATACAATTTATTATTTTATAATAATATATTGAAATAATTTAAGTTCAACACAGAAAGGAGGTCATAAATCACTTATAAGTTATATGAAGTTCTTTCTGTCTCTGCAGTACAGACTCTGTACCTATCCAATATATTTAAGCATATTAGTTTGAATATAGTAATTCATCTTTAAAAATTCTTTTTTTAAAAGTATTTTATCTTCTATTGTATTATTTAAATACTCAAATTTAAAAAAATATCCCACTATATTTATATAATGCAAATTAATAGAAATTTATATAAATAATAAAAAATAATATGAATTAATAAAATGGCAATAAAGCAAAGTACTTTTTAATTTTTATTTAAATTTTTATTATTATTATAAAAACAATGAATTAGTTTAAGTAAATTTTATTATTGTGTATTAATTTGCTTAATTTTTATTTTATATAATTTTTTTTTATAATATATTTAATTTTATTTATTTTTTTACTATTTTTTTTTAATTTATTTTTTTTTTTTTATTGTGCTTTTTTTTATAATTATATATTATATACTTTTGCTATATTTTTTTTATTAGTGTAATAGGCTCATATAGATATAGAAGTGCTTAAGTAATAAAAATAAGATTTTAAAAATTGTTTAAATTTGATTTTTAAACTTAATTATAACGAAATAAACTATTTTTTTAATATAGATTTTCTATTCAAAAAACATTTAATTTTTTTTATAGAATTTTTTTTTATTCATTTTTAATAAAACTTAAGCATTTACATGTATTAAATTATTATTAATTAAATTTATTTTTTATTATATATATTGAATTTTTTAATATTTATTTAATTTTTATATAATTTCTTGTGTAAAACTTAAACTGCCATAATTATTTTCCACTATATAATATAATTAAAAATATTATAATTTATTATTATTATTATAAAATAATTGTTTATTTAAATTTTTTATAAAAATTTTGTTTTTTTTTAAGTAGATAATTATTATTTTTTTATTTATTTATTTTATCTATATAAGCGATATAGTAATTCACGGAAAAATGCATTTAGGTATTTTTTAAAAAAATACAAAATGCAATTTTTTTGGTATATTATGACTTAACTAATGATGCATTTAAGATTAAAAATGCACTTAAGCGAGAACTATTTATCCGTGAATTATTATATATATATTTTTTTTTTATTATTATTATTATACAAATTATTTAATTTGATATAATTTATTTGATGTATATTTTAGTTATTTATTTTTAAATTGGTATTGCAATCAACTAATTTCAAAAGGTTTTTCATACAATCGTTGGGTTTTCCATATATCAATATAACAAGTCTCTTTAAATCTTGGAGGTAGAATTATATTTTTGATTTTCGGAAAAGTAAGGTATCAGATATATTTTATGCTTCTGCAGTAATAACTAATTATTTTACTTCTTGGTTTTTGAAACAATTGAACTACAAATTAGTTTTGGGATTTCTTCATTTTGCAAAATTGAAATAAATTAACGAATAATAAATACATGTAATACCCTTTTGATGTCTTATTTACCAGATATTATTAAGATGTTGTTCTTGTGTCGAAACATTTATAAATCATGTAGATTCTTAGGCTTCATCAATACATAAAAATAATTTTATATAGGAAATATTTTCAAAAAAATTATAAAACTCTTAACACACTTATAGGAAATAATTAAACAAATACAGTACAGCAAATATGTAATTTAAATAGACATAATGAAGTTCTGCATCATAATAGTCGTAAAATACATGAAATACATATAGCATTAAAACGGTTATTAACTAAACATAAAACATAGATTTTTATACTTCTAATAAAGAAAAGTTCATGCTAAAAAGTTTTCATACAATATTCAATCCACACATTTTATAAAAATGCATGAAATAAAATAAAAATATTTAAAAATAAAAATAAAAACAAAAACAAAAACAAAAACAAAATTTAACTGTAAAGTTTGATCTGTTCCTTGGATTATTTACGGATGATGTT